AATGAAGATAATACAAAAATTATGTTTTCTATATAATTTTTTTTTCAGAAACCCAAACAATGGATCTCTTTAGGCGGCGACTAGTCATTTTAAACACAAGCTGATGAACCACTCAACCCACAACGAAGAAATGCCGCAATACGCGAAAGTCATTCATTTACCGAGCGTCATGTTTCGCATATAATTTGGAATAGGTCGGAAATTTTCGAAGTAAACTCAATTATACAGGGTGATTGGTGAGGAAACGGCCATACTCGAGGAACGTGTTCAGATCAAAATATACAAAAAAAGTCATATAAACATGTGTCCGATTCTTAACCCTTACTGGGATATTAATTATTAATAGTAAGCGATTAACCACAGAAAATAAAAGTTAACATTTGTTTTTTGTGGTTGTAACGTTCAGCAGTTATTGTTTTAAATAATATTTGGCATTTGTTTTTTGTGGCTGTCACATCCAGCTGTTATTGTTAGTTAGTTAGTGCTACACACTTCCGCAATGCCGGCGATATTTACACATCAAGAATATGCCGATATGATTTTCATTTATGGATACTGCAACGGGAACGCTAGATGGGCCGTTGCTGAATACCAATACCGCTATCCTAACAGAAGAACCCCTCACAGAAGTGTATTTCAATCAATTTTTGTCACTTCCCGCGAAACCGGCATGTTTCCCAGTGCAAGAATCACATCGGAACGAGAAAATGGTCTTGATGTGCGTGTAGAAGAAGAGATTCTTGATGTTGCACAACGTAGTCCAGGTGTAAGTTCAAGGCGCATTGCAAGTCGCCTTCAAATTAATCAGACAGCAGTATGGACGACTCTTCGCAGGAATGGGCTGCACCCTTTCCATATTCAGCGGGTCCAAAATCTTCAGAATGGTGACTATGCCCTAAGGTTGCAATTTTGCAATTGGGTAAATCAAAATTCTAGGCTATACCGTTACATTTTGTTTACGGGTGAAGCCCAATTCACACGCGATGGAATTAACAATCATCATAATGAACATTGATGGTCAGATGAAAATCCCCATGCCACAGTTGAAAGTAATTTTCAGCATCGGTTTAGTATTAATGTATGGTGCGGAATGATCAACAATCAACTCTTGGGCCCGATTGTGTTAGATGGTCGTTTGACAGCGGACATTTATCTACAATTTTTGCAAAATCGTTTAACAGATCTACTGGATGATGTACCTTTAGATATACGACAAAATATGTACTTCCAGCATGACGGGGCCCCTGCCCATTTTAGTAATATTGTACGAAATTACTTAGATAACCACTTTCCTCGCCGCTGGATCGGCCGAGGAGGTCCACAAAATTGGCCTCCGAGGTCTCCGGACCTCACTCCTCTCGATTACTGTCTATGGGGGTGGCTAAAATCTTTAGTTTATGCTACAAAAGTTCAAACAAGAGAGGAATTATTAGACCCCATCGTCAATTCTGCCGCTGTTATAAGAAATGACCAAAGAGCACTCCAAAGAGCCACACGTGCGTTCCAAAAGCGAGCTAGTAAATGCATCGAAGTTGGCGGTGGTATTTTTGAAAATATTCTACATTGAATTGTTTTTCTTCACTTGTATAGAATAGTACATTATAATAAATGATTTGTTTCGTCATTGAGGTGCTGCTTTTATTATATTTTTTTAAGTGTTAAGAATCGGACACATGTTTATGACTTTTTTTGTTTATTTTGATCTCCTGAACACGTTCCTCGAGTATGGCCGTTTCCTCACCAATCACCCTGTTTATCATTCGAATAATCATCCGATTATAAAATTAATCCGAACGGTAACCTCTCAATTATTTAATTCATTCGATTATTTTCATCACTAATCCGCATGTATTAACTACGAATTGACACTACTACGCCATCTGTAACTTTTATGGTATTTATAGCGGGATCGTTTGAAAACTGAATTTTACTCTGAGTCACCTTGTACTTCATTAGCATATTTCTTAGCGCTTTAATTATATGCGGAATATCAAAAATAAAAAATAGATATCGATTTTCTAAATAAAAACCTGTATTTTCTGGAGAAACATTTAAAATATTTGAGATTTTTATACTATTCGAACCCATGTCACAAGTAACTGCACAAACATTTAGGCCAACAGTTTTTAATTTTTGTAAAGCTTGGGTTAAAAAATTTGCTAATAATTCAGCAGGACAAGACGTGTGAACAAAGAAATAGGCAAGAGGCTGTTTACACTTGCTATACAGAGTGTCCGGTAAGTACCTCCTAATCTCTCGGGAGTGTATAGGGACGATCAAAATAAAACTAGTCCTTCCTATAATTTTTTTTCCTAATGTGCCCCCTAACGGAGTTATGCGGGGTCAAAGGGGTACCTAGAAATTAACGTTTAGGGTTATAACTTTGAAACCACCCTGTATATTTTAATAAAATTTTCGTACGTTGTATTACACATGGAGCTCTACGATTTGATGCTAAAATCAACTTTTTGCTATTATCAGGTGTCCAGAAACGGACTGGCCCTATCACAATTTTTCTCAAAATTTTGACAGAAGTAATTTTATCAAACTGAAAATATTATTATTAGATACTCTGAAGGTTTTTCTTTAAAAATGGTACTCTTTATTTATTTCGAAAAAATGAACGGTTTGCGAGATAAATCGGTTTTGAAAAAAATTGGTAACAAAAACAACAATTAAAATTTATTTTTTTTACATATTATTTCATGCATTTAATTTCTTTAACTTTATCAAGTCCAGAAATCTTTGAACGGGTTGGCTATACTTTATGAGCAAGTAGTGACCAATTAAAAATAACATTTGAAAAATAACTTACTTACAAGACATGCAACAAAGAACATTCAACAATGAACAAAGGTACCTAAATGTTACTTCGGTAGATGTTCAAAATGAGCACCCCGTACTTCAATGCACTTTCTAATCCTACGAATGTTTTCCCGGTGCACTTGAAATAATATTCCGTGATTATTGCGGAGATGGTCACAGTTCTGTGTTAGCCTCAGCAGAAGTTCCTCTCTACTATTTACGGGTGTTGAATAAACGTTATTTTTTAAATGACCCCACAGAAAAAAGTCTAATGGGTTTAGGTCGGGCGACCTAGGTGGCCATAATACAGGTCCGCCTCGACCTATCCATCGATCACCAAAAACATTCGTCAGATGTTGACGTACTAAACGATCAAAGTGGGGTGGTGCACCGTCATGCATGTACCACATTTCAGTTCTTATTTGAAGGGGCACTTCTTCTAACAAAATATTTAGATTTTCCTCTAAAAATTGCAAATAAAGAGCACCATTAAGTCTTTGCTCCAGAATAAATGGACCAATCAAATGATTCCCGATAATGCCAGCCCACACATTCACCATAAACCTTTGTTGGTAGCGAGTTTGAACTAAAGCGTGAGGGTTTTCTTCATCCCAGACATGTAGATTATGCGAATTAATTATGCCGTCTCTTGTAAAACCTGCTTCATCGGTGAACAAAATAGATGTACCAAAATTATGATTCCGAATATGATGCTGTAAAAACCAATTGGCGTATTGAAGTCTTTTTGGATAATCATCTGGAGACATAGCATGTACTTTTTGGATGTGGTACGGGTAAAGCAATTGTTCTTTCAGAGTTTCATGTACAGCCCATTTTGTAACATTGTTTTGCGCCGCAAGCTTCCTTATGCTATTTGAAGGATTATTAGCAACGTCTTCCAATATTTGTTCCTCTACATGAGGGTCTCGTACTCTCCTCGGGGCTCCTGCTCCACCACGGCGTGGCAAAAAGCTTCCTAAATAAAGGATTCGGAAGAAATTAGTTTCACTAACGTTTTTCACTATTTTTTTTTACCTGTTTCTCTTAAACTACGATCAACTCTTTCAAAAGTTTTTGGACTCGGCAAATGTCGACCCGGAAACCTTTCCTCATAAAGTCTTCTTGCCTCCACGGAGTTGCATAATGCTTCCCCATAAATTAGGTGCATATCAGCATATTCTGCACAGGAATATTCTTCCATTTTTAAATGTTATTTCTAACGGCTTAAAACGAATACCACAATAAAATTGAATTTTTATTCTGTCACGCGCCTTTGACAAGTACTTTAAAATCAACAGGGTCTAACAACGAAAACAATAGAAAAGAACTCCATGGAGACAAGAGCAATAATAATTTGTAGATGTATTTTGGTCATAGATGTTGATTTTACAAGAAACGGCATTATTCATTCCCTTAATTCACCACCAGTAAATGTTTATGGTGAATCTGTAGGCTGGCACTAGCGGGAATGATTTTATTGTAAAAAAATAAATTTTAATTGTTGTTGTATTTGTTACCAATTTTTTTCAAAACCGATTTATCTCGCAAACCGTTCATTTTTTCGAAATAAATAAAGAGTACCATTTTTAAAGAAAAACCTTCAGAGTATCTAATAATAATATTTTCAGTTTGATAAAATTACTTCTGTCAAAATTTTGAGAAAAATTGTGATAGGGCCAGTCCGTTTCTGGACACCTGATAATAGCAAAAAGTTGATTTTAGCATCAAATCGTAGAGCTCCATGTGTAATACAACGTACGAAAATTTTATTAAAATATACAGGGTGGTTTCAAAGTTATAACCCTAAACGTTAATTTCTAGGTACCCCTTTGACCCCCCATAACTCCGTTAGGGGGCACATTAGGAAAAAAAATTATAGGAAGGACTAGTTTTATTTTGACCTCCCCTATACACTCCCGAGAGATTAGGAGGTACTTACCGGACACCCTGTATAGACCTCTTAACATGAAAACACAAGCAAAGTGGGTTTAAAAATCTTTTCTCCATCATCCCCTATTGCTAGCCCTATAATATAGTCTTCGTAAAATAAATTTGCTTTGATTGACATTTCATCGAAACATAATAGGCAATATTTATTTGTTCCTGAAAACTGTCAACCTTTTTTTTTAATAATTTATAAAATACAGGGTTTTCTAGTCCTGGTCCCTTTTTAACTGCCAGAATTTCATTGCGTAAAGTATTTGGCGAGGGAAGATCATATTTATTCATTAAATATTGTTTATAAACACGGGGACCCGCAAAATATACCGATAAACATTCAATTTTGGTATAATGTCTACCCTTTGGATGTTAAAGACATATATTGTTCCAGAGATATATTATCCAATTGATTATTTAATTTACTTTCGAGTACTTGAACCCGTTCTCGTAAATATTTGTTCTCTGCCTGTAATGCCTCAATGTTCTGCCTATATTTGACTTTCCTTGGGGAGTTCTGAGTTAAACTGGCTAACGTTTGTGTAGATGTTGGAGACATCAAAGGTGGACTTATTGTTTTCACAGAACTGAATTCATTTTGGAGCCCGGTTTCGGTCTCGGTCTCAAGTGTCTGATCTTCGGTCTGATAATCAACTGTAAAAATACGTTATGCTTAATGTTTACGATAATAATTAAATATGGATCATATTTTTTCTACAACTAAGTATAAAAATGTAAATACTTATTTCTAACCAAAGAATAAATTATTCCGTTAAAAAAAATGAACACTTTCTCATAGAGCAAACTATTATTTATTTTTGAGTTGGCCCATCTTGAATGCATAACAATAATATAAGGTAATAATAAATATTGTAAATACCGGAGTCAGTTTGTGTAACACCTGGAACCAAAACTCTGTTATCCAGGAAGTAGCAAGGGTGCACTATAAGAATGTTCATCTATACCAGCTTTAGAACTTCCTTCAAATGATGGAAATAGGGTAGGATATGCAGTGGCTACTAATCGTGTGTGAAGACAACTGTTGAACATCCTATCTTCAAAATGACTTTCGCATAGCATATAACTTTTATGTAGGTCATCCAGTTTTGTCAGTAATTCCTCCCGATTGGCTTTCATTGCCCATATCTTAGCCCTGTAAAAGTTATTTATTTACATTAATAATTATTGTGAATATGATAAAAAAATTAATAGATATATTTTTAAACAATATCTCTTTTTATTTATTTTATTTCCATTTTGAATACTTATTAAAAAATAAGCGTCTTATTAAGTATATTAAAATAACTAATATGAGTTTGGACTAGGACTTTATGATAAACCTAATTATACTTTAAATTCAAAATTATATTTAGTAACATTTCGTATTGGCTTAACAAAACCTGGGAAGCTCCACCAGAGAATGCTGGTGCGCTATGCTACGTAATATAACGTATTAATATTTTCTGGCACCACCATTATTTCGCATGGCACAGCCTGCTCAGTGAAGGTGAGACTACAGTCAAATTAATATGTCATTGAATCAAATTTTGAATTTGAAGTATATAAACAAGTACTCAAATGTATATTATTAGTATAAACTTTATATTTTGTTAAATGTTTATTTCGACGTTTACAAAAGTAGCTCGATGGGGTAATTATTTAGTATAGTGACACCCTCTCCAGTTTTCACAAAATTTTGTCTACCCCCCTATTTTCGATGGTGCTGAACACGAATCTGAAGTTTTTTTTGTGTGGTCGAACCCAGTTTTCGAGAAACATTTTTTTCAAAATTCTATCCTGAATATTTCAGATAACACTACGTAGAACTCTGTGTATTTTATGTAACTTTCAGAACATCTGTAATAAATAATCAACATTGTTTAAGAAACATATTTTCCCAAATTTGAACTTAAAAAAGTATGTATTTAATAAATAAAATTATAGTGGGATGAACAGAGATGAATGAGAGTAGGTGAACTCAATGGTCATCACGAATTAGAAATGGTGGATTCAAACTACAAAATTTTTATTTATTAAATACATATTTTTTTACTTGAAATTTGCGCAAATGTGTGTCGTGAACAGTATTAATTGTTCATAACAGATGATCTGAAAGCTACATAAAATACCTATACAGAGTTCTACGCAGTGTTATCTGAAATATCCAGGTTAGAATTTTGAAAAATTTTTCTCGAAAACTAGGTTCGACCGCACAAAAATAACTTCAGATTCGTGTTCAGCAGCATCGAAAATAGGGGGGTAGACCAAATTTTGTGAAGATTTGGGAGGGTGCCACGATTATATTAAATAATTGCCCTCGATGGAAAATAATATAATAAACTGTTTATAAATATTAGCAATGACAATTTCACATACATAATTCTATTTAAAAACTACAGGTAAGTACTTACCGGTTTGGTTCCTTGGGAAAACGAAAGAATTTTTTCTTGGAGTTGTAACCCTTATTAAAACAGCTTTTAACTGCACAAACAGTATGATGTCCTTTTCGTTCACTCATTTTACTCAAATCCTTGGTATGTTCTGTGCTCAAAACTCAAAACTAACCATTAAACAATCAAGCTAAATGCAAAACAATCACAAATAAATCAACGAAATTATACCAGCCACGCCTAGGGCACAGACATAGAAAAAATAATATACAAGATAGAACGAAATCTCCCTAAATAATCCACTAACCATTGTCACAGCGCCTCTGGTGATTTGGAAGCCTAACTAATGCATAATGTAGACAACCGTAGATATGCATATGTACATTTGGTTGCCTAATTTAAGTGCAGTATTTATGGTTGCCCATGGGTCTTAATTATTATTAAATATTTTTCCCTTATATTTAAAAGTTTAAATATATATTAAAGTGAAGAAATCTACCTTGTTTAAATTGTCCATACTTTAATATTATATATTTAAACTTTTAAATATAAAGGAAAAGCATAAACATACCAGAACCCCATTTGTTTAAAGGAATAAAAAAATATTTTATGAAATACAAAACAATTTATTATATAAACTAGAAATGATTTATTACAACGGAAAGGACATATTTAATATTAAGACTTACTTATCTAAATTATTCTGAGTAAAAATATATTACGTACTACCAATTTTCTTATATTTGCATAACTTAACAAATTTATAAGATTGTTCCAACAGCTGCAGGCCATTTTCAAATTGTCGGAACTCAAAATGAAGTTATTTTATGGCCAGAGATTAATCATAAAGAATATAATTATGTCCAAGCTATGCAATCTTTATTTAATAATTAATATAATTAACTGATTGAAATAACAATTTTAGGAGTACCAAGTAAAATGCAGAGAAACTACTATTGTCTATCTACTAATATCTCTAGATATTAAATTGTATCAGCTTATATATTAACAAATCCGATAAAAAGTATTATTTCACTTCAAAATGTTAGTACTCATTATTATTAAAATAAAATGTATATTTTAAAAGATCACAACAATCAACTGCGGAAATTGACAATTCACAAACTACCTGCAACCGCAACCGTTGGAACAAACCTTATAAGTATTTTATTTATATGTGATCTTGCATACAAATCTTATAAAATAAAGATTATATTTTAAGTGTGTACCTTCTTGCAATATAAAAAACATTTTTTATAAAGCTTTGGATATATTATCATTTTTTTTTAATTTTTTTTTCGTTTCATTAAAATATCTATTCCGGATGTGCCGGAAGTGCAACATTTTTATGATATCCGACTTTAGTACTTCTAAAATAAGTTAAAGATATCATATAACTTTGTCCCTTTCTTCGTTTGTTTTCTGTCAAAAGGATTTTATAAATGACAAATTTGCCATTTTAATGCGCAATTTTCTCGGAAACTGATAAAGATAGGTATAGGATATAATACATATTTTAGTGTTAGTTTCTTCAGCAGAATTGAAAACAAAAATAATATACAGGGTGTTCCATATGAAATAACAAAGTTTAGGGCATTTCCGGTCAACTAGGAAGTGGCGGTCAGTTGTTTTTATTATTAAATTTTGCATCAAATTAAATGATACGCATGCCAAAAATTTTAAATCGATATCTTTTTTTGTGCCTAAGCTAGAGCTTAGGTAGTAATCTAGTGGTCACCCGGTATATGACGTANAATTGGGTTCTCAAATTTATGCAAGAAATTAGGAAAAGGGCATCCAATCGCCATCTAAGTGTTACGACTTTAGCTCTCGTAATCCTGCTCTTAATGGAACTTCATAGGGAAAAGCAGCCCATGTGAAAAACAAAAGGCCGGTTACCGTGAGAGCAGTCAACAAATAAAATCCAGGGAGACTCCATGAAAAATTTGTAGAAAATCTAGAAAAAAAGAGATTATTGAAGAATATTAAGCAAGAATACAACTAAAAAGACATACCTGAAGTCCAATGACCAAAAGCCATCGTGGGAAAGGAAAATCTACCAGATTCATCCCAAGTGGAAAGAATTTCAGGCCAGAATTCCATCCACACACCCGCAGAATTGAGGGAATACCTACAAAAAAAACAGGACATAAGTGCGAAATAAAAAAGGTTCATTATAAACATCACCTAAGGTAATATGAATTCATATTTTCAAAGTGAAATACAAACAAATCAGATCTGAAAGACTTAGAGAAAGTACGTACCGTATAAAGAGCTCATATAAACTAATTCCACTCATAAATAGACTTAAAATCGTTTTTAATTTAATCATTTAAAATAAGAGTTTGTACCGATTTCTCAGATTAAGTATTTAGCAGATAATACAGGAAAATATTCCTTTTGTCGAGCATTGATTTATAAAGATTAGCGAAAGTGGGGCCATCTACATTGTAGAGACATAAGTAAATAAAAAGGTTTAATTGGAAAAGTATTTCTGTAAAATAATTGAAATTTTGTAAGTCAGCAACCAGGGTTACATCTCCACAATAATGGCAGGTTTCAAATAACAAGAATTTGTAGATTAGAAAATTTAAAGTACAGGGTAACTGTGACAATCATTTAATATAAAAAGAAAAGGGGAAACGTTTTTCATTGAAATATGCTGATATTTAAAATAAAATGTTTTTTAACTCTTGATTTTGCATAAAAATAAATGTTAAATAATTGTGTGCAACTGTTTTTTTTTTCTGGGAGTTTGAACCGACACTGAGATAAAGAGAAACTTGTACCCAACTTGAGAATTAGCCGAGGTAGAAAAGTAAAACAAAAGTAAGTATAACACATTCGAGTCAAAAAGAGCAAATCAATAATTAAAATCAAATTTAATATTTTTCCAAATTAACAACAGTATTTAACAATATTTAAGTTTGGGAAAACCTGGAAAGGTCGGGGAATTTTTATTACTTTTGAACTATGAACCCTGTAATGCCAACTTTAATACGGTTTTTAGACCTATAAGTTATAAGTATAAGTATAACCTATAGATATAAGTTATACATGAACATGAACACATTAGACCTAGATAAAGATTCGCAAAATTTTTTTATTTTAGACCTAGATAATGCTCTCATCTACCCCCCCCCCCCCTCTGACCTAAGTCAGAACTGCATGTATATAAAAACTCATTTAAATCTTGCTTACGTTGTTGGTGAATAATGAGACCAAATAATTTATGTATGCATTTATTAACACAAAAATTCCCATATAACAGAACAAATTTCACATCTAGGATACAAGAATCTTTCTTGGCAAGGGACACAGCCTCTTCGATAGCAATCTGAAAAAACGCAACATATTTTGGTTATTTGAAATGTTCGTCTTACCTTTGGATGAGCCTTCAGAAGGATGGCCATAAAGGCAGCGTCTCCGTACTGCTTGTAGATGGCGGCTTTTTGCCTTATCCTCTCCGCATCTGCTTTGCCGATGCTGCCGATCGCCGAGGCTTTGGCCGTGCCTATCATCTTGATCTTCTCGCTCTCCCCCTGAGCGTTTTTCACCGTCTGGGTCCTGGAAACAGAGCGAATATTAACGATTGTCGCTGAATATCTCGCCTTTTCAGACTCACCTTTTTTCTTCAGTAATAACTTCCACCCGGCGCTTGTGTATTACTAGTTGTGGCCTGTAGAACGAGAAAATAAATAATTATCGAAAATTAATTTCGGTAAGTTTAATACAAGGAATAAAAAGTTGACTGTCACAAGGAGAAAGTTCGGGAAATTACATATTAAATATTAATCAAATAAATGTTTTTTGTTTATCCAACATAATGTAAATACTAAAATTACCACTAAAGGCTGATTTGCACAAATTACACCTTTGTTAGGGAGGTTGCGGAATGTTAATATAAAAAAAAACACGAAATTGATAATTATTTGCCACACAAAACTATAAGTTGTTAAGAGTGCAAAGAGTAGCAAATAGGCAACCAGCAATACATTTTTACTGATTTTATTACACAGTTTGTCTAATAACCACATCCTTGGATAAAAGTATGTGCTAATAACACAATTTGCTTTTGTTGTAAAGAAATTTGTAATTTGCCACCTTTGAATAAACGGCATTGTATTTTACAAATTTCTTAACACCAACAAGTAATTTGAGTTTCAAACTAACTCTATTTTATAGAAAATCGTTAGAATGGGGGAAAGTCTTTTATTTGTGCATTAATTCATATTCAGTGTAATAAATTTATAGAAATGTATTGCTGGTTGCATATTTGCTATGGAACACTTAAAAAAAGTAATAACTAATAACTAAAATTGGTGACAGTAAACATGGAGACTATACATCTAGTCTCCATGATTGCAATTATGAATCATTTCATGTCATTCTTGTTCATGTTTATTGTTTATTGTTGGTTAGGTTTGGCGAGTGTTGGTGTGTGTTTTATTTGTGTTTTTAGTGTGTTTTATTAGATATTTCATTCACATTTATTTATATAACATAATAATGTCTGATCATCATATAATCACATTTTTTTATTAATAATAAAATGTTTTTTTTTTTTGTTTTTTTTTAATAAAAAATGTGATCAGAGGTAGGTAGTTTTTTTTATGGATATCAA